AGTCTCCTGCCTCAGCCTCCCAAGTAGCTGAGACCACAGGCGCCCGCCACAATGCCCGGCTATTTTTTGGTTGCAGCTGTCATTGTTGTTTTTTTGCAGGCCTGGGATGGATTCGAACCTGCCACCTTAGGTGTATGTGGCTGGTGCCTTAGCCACTTGAGCCACAGGCGCCGAGCCTAAATAGGAGTTTTAATTTATTTTGTTCTTTATGATCTTCCTCTATTTTTTTTTTTTAGCAGGTGTGTATTGAGTATTCAACACATATCATATGCATTGGCTAGCTATCGAATATCTCAAGATTTAGGCATTTTCATCTGGGAGGACAGTAGAGAACAAAGGGATAAAGAGTTGTAGAAGCCAACATTGACACATAAAAGCTCTACAGTGTACATGAGGGCAGTACTATCACAGCAGAGAGGGGAACAAGGAAGTAAGGAATAGCTAAAGGATGACTGCACTTTGGCTTGTGGTGGAAGTAAGGTAAGGATGGGAAGCAGCATTAGTAAAGTCAGAAAGAGCATAATGATTTTTAGGAAGGCTGAGAACTGTAAGAAAACAAAAATGGAGAGTGCTTCATAGAAAGGTTGACTAAGGGTGGCACTAAAGTGATAAAACAAACAAACAAAAACCATGATGTTTACAATATCAAGGAGGCAGTTTGGAGAGTGATAGTCAGGAACCTTGGCTATGGAGTAAAAGTAAATCTTGTAAATCTGAGAGTTAATCAATCTTATGTTCAGTGTATAACCTTGGCATGTAGTTACTTAACCACTATAATCCTAAGTTTTCTCATATGTAAAATAGGAAAATTAATAGGTTTGTCATGGACAAACTAAATATTTAATTGTTTGATGATGTGATTATGGAACTATATTGAGATGATGGGGATGAGACTGTGTATGCATGGAGGGAAACAAAGGAGGGTTTTTTGTTTTTTTTTTAGACAGAGCCTCAAGCTATGCCCCTGGGTAGAGTGCTGTTGCATCACAGCTCACAGCAACCTCCAACTCCTGGGCTCAAGCCAGTCTCCTGCCTCAGCCTCCCAAGTAGCTGGGACCATAGGTGCCCGCCACAATGCCCAGCTATTTTTTGGTTGCACCCATCATTGTTGTTTTGGCGGGTCCAAATTGGATTCAAACCTGCTATCTTAGGTGTATGTGGCTGGCGCCTTAGCCACTTGAGCCACAGGCACTGAGCCACAAAGGAAGGTTTTAAGCAGGACACTGTTAATATTTGAAAATAATTTGCTTTCACTTTAAAAGCAATGTTTTATAATAATGAATATTTAGGAAAAAAATCTGAAAAATTGTTTTATGTAAGACACTCCACCATTAAATTAGTTTTTGCTATTAGATGACAATTATTGTGAAAGTAATGATGAGGTAATTTAAAAAGTCTATTTTCATTCCAAGGATATTTTGTAGCTCTATTCTTACCTAAGTCCCCGGACATGATGCCATGTCACTAATTTGTTGTGGTTTTCTTTATGAATGCTTCCTGCACATTTTATTATTTGGGATTTTTTGTTTCCTGTTGCTACTGTAATTGATATATTTCATCATCTGACTAGCTTTAACATGTACATAAGATAGCTATTAAGTTTAAGAGAAGCTAAGTTTTTTTTTCGCCTATGAAATGAGGAGTTTAGTTAATGAACTAAGACTCTAACATTCTGTGATTCTCTTAATGTACCTAAAAAAAAAACTAAGGGCTGAGTGTGGTGGCTCACGCCTGTAATCCTACCCTCTGAGATGCCCAGGTAAGTGGATTATACTTGAGCTCAGGAGTTTGAGACCAGCCGGGGCAAGGGCAAAATTCCATCTGTAAAAATAGCTTGGTATTGTGGCAGATGCCTGTAATCCCAGCTACTTGGGAGGCTGAGGCAAGAGGATTGCATGTGCCCAAGAGTTTGAGGTTGTTGTCAGCTATGCATAGCACTCTACTAGGGCAAGAAAGTAAGACTTTGTCACCCCCCAAAAAATCAAAAAAATTTATTTTAAAAAGTCTTCTTTGTTCTATAATTTTAATGAAAATTATCCTATGTTTTATTTTATTACCTTTATGGTCTCTAGTACTTTTTAGAGTTTAAATTTTTGTTCCATCAAAATTTATTTATTCTTTCTTCTAAGGCATATGGTATATTGATTTTACTAGGGCTGCCATAAAAAGTACTACAAATTGGGTGGTTTAAACAACAGAAATTTATTGTCTTATAGTTCTGGAAGCTAGAAGTTCAAAATCAAGGTATCTGTAGGATTGAGTCTTCCTGAGAGCTATGAGGGAGGGGTCTGTTCCAGAACTCACTCCTTGGCTTGTGGATAGCCATTTTCTTCTTATATCTGCTCACATCATCTTCCCTCTACATGAGTCTGTGTCTGGGTTCAAGTCTCTCCTTTTGATAAGGATACCAATCGTAATGGATTAGGCTCTACCCTACAACCTCACATAACTAGTTATATCTGCAATGACCCTGTTTCCAAGTTGTATCAAATTCTAAGGTACAGGACATTAGTACTTAAATAAATTTTCAAGAGATACAATTCAACCCTTAACATGTGTCTTCAGCATTATTCTTTTCCTATAGACTATCCACTTGTTTCAATATTATTCATTCAATAATTCCTCTTCTTTCCAGTTATTTTGGTGCTGCCTTTATAATTTATGAAATTACCATATGTATTAGGTAGGTGTTTTATTGTTTACCTCCTCTGATCTGTCTAGTTCTCTTTGCCAAAGATAGGATTTTACTTTATTTTTCCCTAAAAACTATGATACAAACTAGATGTGGGTGTAGTTTTACATGTCATAGCATAAATGAGAATGATCACTTCAGATTGAACAGGAATGTACTATTACAGGAGTTAGTATCATTCAAGGATGTGGCTGTGGATTTCACCCAGGAGGAGTGGCATCAACTGGACCCTGCTCAGAAGACCCTGTACAGGGATGTGATGCTGGAGAACTACAGCCACCTAGTTTCAATGGGTAAGGATGGTTTCCCCACATTACTCCAATGAAGAGTTGCCTAATAAAGTGCCTTTCCTTATCAGTTACTATGATTAAGTGGTTCCTGACATACCTAATGACTTTTGTACTTTCCCAGCTGGAGGTCATTACTTTGCTGAGGGCTAACTAGACAACTTCATTATAGACCATCTGATACGTACCTTCACGTACTCCTTCAGTGCAGTCAATCTGAATTCCTCTGTGATTTCCATTTAATAGGGTATCCAGTTTCCAAACCAGATGTCATCTCCAAGTTGGAACAAGGAGAAGATCCATGGATCATAAAGGGAGACATACCAAGTTGCATCTATCCAGATGAAAATCAGGCAGATGGGAGAAAAGGGAAGTGAAATATCAGTTTGTGTGTTTTGTTTTTTCAGTTGGTTAGTGCCTGAGGCTAGTGTTATTATCCTTATTGAAATCTATTCTCTGCTCCTATGCTGAGAATTTAATAGGTATTTAACAAATAATTGAAAGAAACCGTGAATTTTTCAGAAGAGTACTAGTCCTTGTTGATCTTCTTTCTCTCATATTTATCTTTAGTGTCTTTTATAAAAGGGTTTTAAAGGGAATAGAAGGCAAAAGTCCTTTCAAGACAAGAGCATAGGTTTTACTTTAGGAGGTAAGATGCCCAGATACATGTCTATACAAAATTAAATGTCAAATACAGTTATGTTTTAAAAGTTCACAGAAAATTGGAGTTTAAACAATGTGGCAGAATTTGAGAAGACATTTTTCAGAGTATACAGCTATAGCTGCTTGGAATGACATAGTGCTGGTGAGGTAGAAGGCGGAGGGTGAAGACAAGAAAACTGTATGGGAAAGAGTGTATAAATAAAACCTTATAGTCAGGAAGAAGGGCGTTTCTGAGAGAACTTTGCTAGTTTTACTTGACACTATGGAAGGTAGTTTATTGGGTGTAATGGAATTTAAGTACATATTCTTGGTATGATTCTGATGCTGAATCCATAGCAGGATCTTGGATTTTTCTGTTATTTATGTTAGTTGTTAATTACACAGATAGACTGAGGAGAGTTAAAGTATTTTGACTACAGAAAAGACCTTATGGGTGGTGCCTGTTCTTCAGTGGGTAGGGCACCAGCCCCATATACTGCGAGTGGCAGGTTTGAACCTGGCTCTGGCCAAACTGCAACAAAAAATAGCCGGGCCTTGTAGTGGGCACCTGTAGTTCCAGCTACTCAGGAGGCTGAGGCAAGAGAATTGCCTAAGTCCAGGAGCTGGAGGTTGCTGTGAGCTATGACACCATGGCACTCTACCAACGGCAACAAAGTGAGACTCTGTTTCTAAAAACAAACAAACAAACAAACAAAAAAAACCTTGTTTCTTTGGAGTGGGAGTGGGATAAGAGTGAAGTATATACATAGTAGTTTATAAGATTAATGAATTTATAAGTTGAAAAAGGCTTCTAGTCAAAAAATGGAAGAAATTGAAGATTCTAGGAGCAAATCAAGATTAGAGTGATAAGAACTGAGACACTTTTCTATCAAGTTTAATTTTTACATAAAATTTCTATTTCATATCCTTGTCTATCTATTCACCTAATAACACTGTGTGCTCTACTGTCTTCCAGATGGAGCCAACTATTTTGTATCATTCATTTGTTCCACTTCTCTTCCCTCTGTTAATTGACTCTTATGATGACTCTCTTTTATCTTTTCTTCTTTTAGATAGGAAGAGTAATCTTCACAACTCCCAGTCATATATTTTGGAGGCTATTTCCTTCCATAACAAAATACTGAAAGGAGTCACAAAAGAAGGTTCATTTTACTCAATTTTAAAAGTTTGTGATGGCCAGCTGCAGAAATATAAGGAAAACCAAGACAAACTTTTCAGTCAAGTTACATTTGTCAGCAGCAAGACAGTAACTGAGGTATCAGGCCACAAATATAATGCACTAGGAAGAAAAGAGCCAGATACACTAAGACAAAGACTCCACAAATATGATGCTTTTAAAAAGAACTTGAAACTGAATATTGACCTACCTAGTTGTAATAAGATCAGTTCAGGAAAAAACCTTGATCAGAGTTTTGGATGTGGAAAATTGTCTAGCCCCAGCGAATCCAATTCTAATCTTGAGAAAATTCACAATGGATTAATACCCTGTGATGATAATCAGTGTGGAAACATTTTTAGCAATAAACAATCCCTTATTCAATATCAGAATGTTGAAACTAGGGAGAAAACTTGTGTGTGTATTACCTGTGGCAAAGCCTTTGCTAAGAAGTCACAACTCATTGTACATCAAAGAATTCATACTGGAAGGAAACCATATGACTGTGGTGCATGTGGAAAAGCCTTCAGTGAGAAGTTTCATCTTATTGTACATCAAAGAACTCATACTGGGGAGAAACCTTATGATTGTTCTGAATGTGGAAAAGCCTTCTCTCAGAAATCATCCCTCATTATACATCAGAGAGTTCACACTGGGGAAAAACCATATGAATGTAGTGAATGTGGGAAAGCCTTCTCCCAGAAATCACCCCTCATTATACATCAGAGAATACATACTGGGGAAAAGCCCTATGAATGTAGAGAGTGTGGGAAGGCCTTCTCCCAGAAGTCACAGCTTATTATACATCACAGAGCTCATACTGGAGAGAAGCCATATGAGTGTACTGAATGTGGGAAAGCGTTCTGTGAGAAGTCCCACCTCATTATCCATAAAAGAATTCACACTGGTGAGAAACCCTACAAATGTGCTCAGTGTGAGGAAGCCTTCAGCAGGAAGACAGAACTCATTACACATCAGTTAATTCATACTGGGGAAAAGCCCTATGAATGTACTGAATGTGGAAAGACGTTCTCCCGGAAGTCACAGCTCATCATACATCAGAGAACACACACTGGAGAGAAACCCTATAAATGCAGTGAATGTGGAAAAGCCTTCTGTCAGAAATCACATCTCATTGGACATCAGAGAATTCACACAGGAGAAAAACCTTATATATGTACTGAATGTGGGAAAGCCTTCTCTCAGAAGTCCCACCTCCCAGGACATCAGCGAATTCATACTGGAGAGAAACCTTATATATGCCTTGAATGTGGAAAGGCTTTTTCCCAGAAGTCAGATCTTGTTTTACATCAGAGAATTCACACCGGGGAAAGACCTTATCAGTGTGCTGTATGTGGGAAAACCTTCATCCAGAAGTCTCAACTCACTGTACACCAGAGAATTCATACAGTGGTGAAATCATAATGAACTAACCACAAAAAATCCTTCAGTATTAGCTCAAGCCTTAATAATTACTAGAAAACTAATTAATTTGATAAACTTGGGGACAACATCTCTATAGATCAAATTTAATAAGGGAATTTATGATTCTGGTGTGGTGTTCCCTAATGTTTTCAGAAAAGATGATGGGAAACAATTATATAAGTGAAGGACATTTTCAAATGGCATGAAACGCTTTTAAAGTTATGAATCGAATGAATAGAAAAGTTATGTATACAAAATACCTTATCGTTACTACATAATGATAATCAGAAATTGTGAAATTACTAATATCAGCTTGCCTAATTATGATGATACAGTAATTTTCTATGAAAGACATGCAAGAAAGCTTGAGTAAGAACTAAAAATATTAGTTCCTGGAAATTGTATTTTAAAAAGAGGCTTGAGGCTTGGTGCCTGTAGCTCAGTGTTTAGGGAGCTGACCACATGCACTGGGGCTGGTGGGTTCAAGCCCCACCAGGGCCTGCTAAACAATAAGGACAATAATAACAAAAACAACAAAAAAGCCTTGAGCATGACTCCTAAAGCTACATGTAAAATTCTTGTACATTAGGTGGAAAGATTAGCTGATCAGATTCAATAAATTTTATATATATGTATTTTCTAGTCTCAAGCATATCAGTTGACATGTATCTCTGAAAGGATCCCAGGTCTTGACATACATGCATTTTGATCAGGTCTTATATTTTCATTGTTGTGGTAGAAAGACTTTGGTACTGAAGATAGTCTTGAATGTTAATCCTGGCTCAACAACTCACAGATTGGTGACTTCCAGAAAGCCTATTTTACTCATCTGAATATTTTTTCTTGTCAGTAAATAAAAGTACAACGTAGAGCAAATGTTCTGTGTTAAGATTGTTGTTTGTTTGTTTGTTTGTTTTTTTGAGGCAGAGCCTCAAGCTGTCATCCTGGGTAGAGTGCCATGGCATCACAGCTCACAGCAACCTCCAACTCCTGGGCTGAAGCCTCCCAAGTAGCTGGGACCATGGGTGCCTGCCACAATGCCTGGCTATTTTTTTTTTTTTTTTTTTGGTTGCAGCCATCATAGTTTGGCGGGCCCAGGCTGGATTGGACCTATTTTTCTTTAGCAGATTAAGTAGCTAACTATTGACCACTGAGGTCTCATTCCTTGGGGCAAAACGTTGTCTTCCCAGCCAGACTGCCAAGGTCACCAGGGTTCTCTTCATCTCTCCCCTGCAGAGACCTTGGTCAAGAGATTTCACTGACCACTCTGCTTTCACGGGCCACTGACCCGTGTGCTCCTTTCCTCCTCCAACCCCACTCCTCGGGATCAATTCCTGCCTCTGCCACACCCTCTTCCCCGCCTGAAATCACCGTCATTTTTAAAAAATTTCCATTGGATTTGTTATACCCCACCTTGAGTGGGGGTTTCTTGGCACTCTTAGAAAAAAATCTTGCCCCCTCCCGACACCCACAGGCCCTAAATGACCAGCCCCTGTTTCTCCTAGCCTCACTTCTCGCACCCTTCCCCAGGAACTTTGCACAGCTATTCCCTCTGCCTGGGATGCCCTTCCCTCAGATTTGTTCCTAGTACCTAATTCAGGTCTCAGTGTCAACTCTTCTAGCCTTCCACAAACAGTCCCACATGCTGCTGCTGGTGGCTGAAGTAAAGAGCATTTTGGAAATAAAATGTATCAAAATGTAAATCTCCCTATCCTTTAACTGAGCAATTCCACTCTCGGGAACTTATTCTATAGCTATCTACCCAGGTGTGCAAAATGACATGGATGTGTATTTAAGAACATTCATTGCATTCATCATTTGTGATATCAAAAAGCTGGGAACAACCTAAGTGACCCTCAATAAAAGATCAGTTAAGTTCATTAATACATCCACCCAGTGAAATATTATGCAGCTGTTAAAAAGCTGAGGGCTGTATGTAAATGATAAATACATTGCTAGGTTTAAAAAGAAAACTATAAAATAACGTGTAATATTCTTGGATTTCTACTTTTAAAAATGCCTGCAAGAGGCTCAGATGAGGATACAAATGAAACTGATTAATAGGCCTGCCTCCTGGGAAGGGAGCTGGAGGTCAGGCAGTGGATAGCTAGAGACTTATTTTTTGTTTTTTAACTGTTTACTCTAATATTGAGGTATAATTTATGGACCAATAAAATGTATAGATTTAAAGTGTATAGTTTAAAATAAATAAAGTGTATCATTTAAACAGTTTTGGCAAATGTATACACTTGAATAATCACCACCCAAAACAAGATAGATAACATTTTCCTTACCCGGCTTCCAAGTCATTCTGATTGCCCCCGCCCTCCATCCTTCATTTTTTTCCTCATGGAGAATTTCACAGGAGATTTATTACTCTCTAAATACCTTTTTTAACGTTAAAAGGGGATGTTGCAGGCCTGTGTTTCTTCCTTTCTTTCTTTTTTCTTTCCTGATACAGAGTCTCACTCTATTGCCCTGGCATAGCTCACAACAACCTCAAACCCCTAGGCTCAAGAAATCCTCTTTTGTTTTGGGGTGTTTTTTTTTTTTTTTGAGACAGAGTCTCACTATGTCACTGTGTCACCCTCAGTAGAGTGCTGTGATGTCCCAGCTCACAGCAACCTCCAATTCTTGGGCTTAAGCGATCCTGTTGCCTCAGCCTCCCAAGTAGCTGGGACTATAGGCACCCACCACAACACCCAGCTATTTTTTGTTGCAGTTGTCATTGTTGTTTGGCAGGCCCAGGCTATATTTGAACCTGCCAGCTCTGATGTAAGGGGCTGGTGCCCTAGCCTCTGAACTACAGGCACCAAGCTGGGTTTGAACCCACCAGCCTTGGTGTATGTGGCTGGCGCTGTAACCACTGTGCTACAAGTGCTGAGCCAGGAAATCCTCTTGCCTCAGCCTCCCAAGCCACTGGGACTATGGGTGCTCACCACAATGTCCTGCTAGTTTTTCTATTTTTATTTTTTATTTATTTTTATTTTTTTGCAGTTTCTGGCCTCTCTGGGGATGGGGTATCCACAAGGAGGCTGCTGGTGACTATGGCACCAAAGTTGTGGTGGACTGTAGGGGTAAGAGAGAGGCTTTGAAGTGCCACAAACCAGAGTTCAAATCTGAGTCTCACGGCCTTATGACTGTGTGAATTTCAGATCCTTCCCCTCTCTGAGCTATAACTTTCTCCTCTGCGAAATGGAAATAATAACAATCTCACCTCATGATGGGGCCATGTGGATTAAAATGAATTATTGTAAGTGACATGTGGTAGGTGCTCAGTAAATCTCTGCTGAACCCTTGTTAGCAGTCAGTGGTCTCAACACTCCAATCAGGCTCTGTATGGGGGGTGGGGGGGGATTAGAAGATCTGTTCCAGCCATGGCAGGCAGACCCAGAACTCATAAAGGAATAGGTCACATCAGAGATGCTTGGAGACCTACACAGAATAAACCAGTGATGGTGAGAGGGAGTGGCTGTATCTGTGGGGGTGGGACAGTTCTTTATTATAGAATAAGAAGCACAGGCCTAGCTGGGTGTGGTGGTTTAGGCCTGTAATCCTAGCACTCTTGGTGGCCGAGGCAAGTGGATTGCCTGAGTTTAGAAGCTTGAGATCAGCCTGAGCAAGAATAAGACCCCATCTCTACTAAAAATAGAAAAACTAGGGTAGCACCTTTGGCTCAAAGGAGTAGGCACTGGTCCCATATACCAGAGGTGGTGGGTAAATGCAGTGCTCCCTAGCATGTCTTGGTTTGTAAATGCAGTGTTAGGAAACTCCCTAGTGTCTAAATGCAGTGCGCACAAGCGTGTCTTGGCGTATAAATGCAGTGCTCCCTAGTGAGTCTTGGCATGTAAATGCAATGAAGGGAAACTCCCTGGCATGTAAAAGCAGTGCTCCCTAGTGTGTCTTGGTGTGTAAATGCAGTGATGGGAAACTCCCTGGTGTGTAAATACAGTGCTCCCTAGTGTGTCTTGGCATGTAAATGCAGTGCTCGCTAGAGTGTCTTGGCATGTAAATGCAGTGTTCCCTAGCGTGTCTTGGTGTGTAAATGCAGTACTCCCTAGAGTGTCTTGGCATGTAAATGCAGTGATGGGAAACTCTCTGGTGTTAAATGCAGTGCTCCCTAGTGTGTCTTGGTGTGTAAATGCAGTACTCCCTAGAGTGTCTTGGTGTGTAAATGCAGTGTTCCCTAGTGTGTCTTGGTGTGTAAATGCAGTACTCCCTAGAGTGTCTTGGCATGTAAATGCAGTGATGGGAAACTCTCTGGTGTGTAAATGCAGTGCTCCCTAGTGTGTCTTGGTGTGTAAATGCAGTGCACGCTAGAGTGTCTTGGTGATGCAGTGATGGGAAACTCCCTGGCCTGTAAATGCAGTGAAGAGAAACTCCCTGGTGTGTAAATGCAGTGCTCCCTAGCGTGTCTTGCCGTGTAAATGCAGTGCTTTCTAGTGTGTCCTGACATGTAAATGCAGTGCTCACAAGCATGTTTTGGCGTGTAAATGAAGTGATGGGAAAGGGAATGCATTAGTGCAACAGAAAGTTACAAACTCTTTGTCAGCAAACTTAACTAGCCTGGGAACTTGAAACATAAGAGAACTATAAAAATCATAATTTTTTTTTTTTTTGGCTTTTAGAGCCGGTTATCTTAGTAGTAAAGGTTAAACACATATACAATCACTCTCAACGTGTTTCAAAACAAATTCTTTGTCTTTGAGGATAGGGATGTGTCTGGCTTTGTGTCCCAGACTTTGTGTCCCCATGTGCCCAGGACAGGGCTCCCACCACGCTGGGAGGAAGTGAGCTCCTCCTAGTTTGGACTCCCCTTTCCAGCGTTTGGGCTGGTGGGCCACACTTGGGCTTATGGAAAATCTGGGACTGCCCTGGGGCTGCGTTCACCGGAAGAAGAGGCCCTTCACCAACCCCCCTGGCCGAGTAGAGTCTGGGCCACGCCACACGGAAATGTATTCAACTCGGACCACTGTCCCCATGCGCTGTGAGATTCTGGTTATTATAGTCCTCTGCAGCCAAAAGTTTGTTTTGTTTTGTTTTGTTTTGAGACGGAGCCTCAAGCTATCTCCCTGGGCAGAGTGCCATGGCTTCACTGCTCACAGCAACCTCCAACTCCTGGCCTCAAGCGAGTCTCCTGCCTCCGCCTCCCAAGTAGCTGGGACCACAGGCGCCCGCCACAACGCCCGGCTATTTTTCGGTTGCAGCCGTCATTGCTGTTTTGACGGGTCCGGGCTGGGGATTCGAATCCTCCACCTTAGGTGTACGTGGCTGGCGCCTTAGCCGGTTGAGCTATAGGCGCCGAGCCCAGCCAAAGGTTTTAGATGCAAGCGCTGACTCCCCAGTGGGTCCTGGGAAGTGTAGTATGATAGTGGCGGCTTTAGGCTCAGGGGCACGTCGCCGGCGCCTTTGGGCAG